TGGCAAGCACGAGGTCATGAGTTCAATTCCCGGTACCGGAAAAAAAAAAAAAAAACAAAAACAGAAACACAGAGTCCCGGAGGGCAGAGAAAAGGAGGTGAAGAAGAAACACACCTGAGGCTAGAGGGCAGGGACACTGATTAACAGTCTCTACTTTAGGATAAATTATAGGGACCAAAGAAACTTGTGAACATTTGTGAAGATACCAGAGGACAATTACAAATCTAATTTGACAAAGTAAATTTGACCTTAATCAGGACTGGACACACAGTTTCAGAGGAGTTTTTATTTGCACTTAGTCTTACTGTATGCTCCCCATATTACCTTACAACGCTTCCCTATCATACTTACACTTGAACTTTAAAGAACTAAAGAACTGCATTTTCACAGCACTGCAAATCCTCAAGAGCTATCCTACCTATTTGTATACAGCCGACACCACGATGTCTAACCTGAAATGTATTTTGTTGTACAGATCTATAAACATTTACTTCTTGAAGTGCAAAGGGACACATCAGGCTGTAGGCGTGTCAACCTATCATACCACACACATCACAAATCACACATATCATACCTTAAAATGAACTTTAATTCCAGGACAGTCATCACTGGATAATTTTACATTACATATGAAAATTACATTTCAAAATAATTATAATGTCTGGTAACAGATAAGATCCCCTAAAAATTATGATTTAAATTCAAATCTGATGTAAACGTTATGTATCTTTGACTAAGTACAGACGAAATCCAGAGTTAGAACAGCCAGGAAGGCTACATGAATTCCTGGCTATCTCATGGATTCTAAATGAAAGGGCAGAAACTTACAATGAATAAAAAAATCCATAATTGGAAATAATACCTACCTTGCCTAATAATAGATCGAGACTGTATGATATGAAATATCAAATTTATCAATTTGGAATCAATTTGAGCATAGTCTCTGTTTATCAAGCACATCCTAATATTTCAACATACTTAAACTTTGCATTGCTTCCTTTTTAATTGATTTTTCTTCCCACTTATTATTATTATGTATTTACAATACGTTATAAACATATTTATTGTGGAGTGTTGGTACATATATATATCATCTACATCTTTTTTACTTCCCCATATGAGGGAAACGTAGTTAGTACTATGAAAAGCATGACATTCATGTGACTTTTTAAAAATACTTGCTTTCTTCTGCCCTATATTGAAGCTAACATTCAGTTTCCCTGGAAATTATCCCATTCCACAAAACAGTACAGATCCATCACAAGCAGGTTCAAAGGGAAAGATGGAGTTAAAAATAAAGGCAACTGAATTTAAAAGATTTTTTAATTTCTATTAGTTAAAATTCTTCCTGTCATATTAATATAGTCAAGAAAATTAATTTGAAAAGTCTATCTTGAATGTGCAACTATGTCAATAAATTCTAATCCCTAGTTTCAAAAAGTAGTAAAGCAGAATTACAATTATCTAAATGATTACAGTAATCAACAATTTAGAACCAAATGCAGACCAGTACATCCTCATATACTTTTCCTTTTTCACCAGAGGTAAGTTGATCAAACTAAAGTGGTTCCAGTAATACCAAAGAACAGTGACCTGAGATCTTCATAATTTCACCTTTTTGTTTTTTCCAAATTGTTTCAGAACACAATTCACCAAAAAAGCCTTTTATAACATACAAAGATGTCCTGAAAAATATAGCTATTAGTTGTACCTTTAAAATCATATAAATCAATGTTCATCAACTCTATTATGACTTGTAGCTTATGAAAGTACATAAACATGTGTTCCACAATACCTGATTTTGATTTCAGGATAACCTGAATGGTATGTCCATCATTGGTGACCTCACAGTCCCGGCAGACCACATAATTTGGAGACAGGCGGACATCCAGCAGTGAGGGGTCGTATCTAGCTTCTCTTGAGTTTAGGTTAATGGGAGACTGGTATTCTCCATTAGCATCAGGAAACACCAACCCCCACTCCACACCTAAGGACAAAATGAAAAAGAAATTTAGAACAAGTTTCCAAAAAAAGCATATTACAGTAAAATTTAACATGCAAAAACTAGTTCAAACAACTTTACGATCCTTAAAATCTTGGAGATTTGACTATCATCGTTATACAGATGAAATGTGGAGAACGTGTAAATTTTTACATTCATGACATGAATGACTTAGTAATATTACTACTACACACAACATCCTGGACTAACGAAATATTCCACTCGCCTGTATTTGCCCATATAGACGTAATGATTTACGGTTCTAGGAAACTGAGGTCATCTTTAACTGATTAGAAAAAAACGCCACAAAAATTTCCTCTGCAAATTAGTTCAGTTGCGTTCAGTACTGAGGAAACAGCTGTAACTTCCCACATGCTTTGTGAGAGCCAAAAACTATAATTCTGATGCTAGTAACACCTATCAGAAATGCAAATGTACCCGTGTGCACATGTATACGTACTACATATCTATGTGCCCGTTCCGAACTTTCCTAACTGAAATTATACAGTTTCTGATTATTTCAGCTACGTCGCAAACAGCATGAACGGTTGGCCATTGGGAGACCTATGTCTTCAGGGATAACCACAGGAAACAGCTTCTCTTAAAAACTCAACCCTTTCCCGCCAAGCTCACTGATGCAGTTTGAAATGAAGACGTGTTTTGGAACGAGCTGAGCGTTGCTGGCGTCCTTCACAAAAACTAGTTGCGCGGACCGCGTCTGCCCGGGGGCCTGCACCGCTCTCCCGCCGCCCTTCGCACGCCGCGGC